CCCAGTCAGTCATCGCTAGTTTCCAGTCATTAGTCACTAGTCATCAGTCACTCGTCGAAAGCATTCATCAGTTTATTTTACTAGTCAATCACTATTCCATCACTATATATTCACGAGTCATCTAGTCACATAGTCACTAGGTCACTAGTTACTGTAATAGGTACAGGTCATTAGTCACTAGTTACTATTACTAGACTCTACTAGACTCACTATAGTCACGTCGAGAGACTCTCACTACACCACACTACACTAGATTCACTAGACTAGACTCAATAGACTCACTAGAGTCACTAGTTTCACTAGTCACTAGAGACACTTCAATAGACTTGATTGACGTGACCTGACTAAACTAAACTAAACTCACGAGACTACACTGACTACACTACACTACACTGAAGCCCTATAGTAGTATAGGCCCTACAGAGTCCGAGAGCACAGCTGCAATGATTTCGACACGATCTATCAATCTGATTATCAGAATCTGTCAATCACGCATCCCTCCCAAGCAAGCACGGTGCCCCTGTGATATTGCGGCCATCAAAGTCGTCGCGGAATGCTAGCGGCACACGCAACTGCCACCACATGGCCAACTTGCCGGAACTTCTGCTCAGCTCGGCATGCTTCGAGGCGACTTCGAACATGTCCGGGTCATCCTCCTTAAGCTGCTTGAGGTCCTCCGCGGCGCCCTTGCCTGCCCCGTCCTCTTCCACGGCGTCCTCTAACGCAAGCGGTGTCTCCTTCGACTCCTTCTTGCGTCTCTTCTTCCCGGTCTCGTCCTCGCCGCCCATGGTCAAGCGTGCAGCTGCGGAAGTAACAGCTTGTGCTTGCGGCCTCATGGGCCCAGTCGTTTCTGTGTCGCCTGTCTCCAGCAAATCGCTGAGGTCAGCGGAGTCTGCATTTGCCTGACTGTCCTCGTCCGGCACATCGCCCCTCTCAGTGGCCTGCAAGGGCAACACTAGCACTGTAGTCGCAACACAATGATCGGGGCGGTTACACCGTTACACAAGGCCCAGCAGCCAATCATATTCTGCTGAATTACTGAAGTCTCCCGCACACACAGCCATGATGCTGTTCAGTGGTCACTGGTCACAACCGACGAACTACTCCGGCTATATTGTCCCGATGGCACTGATGCCACCCATAAACTTGTTGGCAGCCACTGACCAATGACCAGTGACTTGACTTTGACTAGTGACTAGTGACTAGTGACTAGTGACTAC